AAGGGCAGTTGGTTTGCGTAATGTGGACACAAGAAGAATATAATGTTTACTGACAGATCGTGGGAGACGGGTAGAGGGTTGGGGGAAATTGGAAGAAGAGTGATGTGATGAATAAGCAATGATGCAACAATGTGGGAAGGAGAGAGAGAGAGAGAGAGAGAGAGAGAGAGAGAGCGAGAGGGAGAAAGAGAGAGAGGGAGAGAGAAAGAAAGAGAGAGGAAGAGTGCAAGATAGGGAAGGATGAGGGGAGAGACAGAAAGGTATACACAACAAAGATAATTATTAATGGATCTGTAGTAATACATACATTGTCTTTTTGGATCTAGAAGGGCTTTAACTTTGTGTTAAGTATATCAATTAAAGATAAAGTTAAGTTCTAGTCATGTGATTGCATTGTGAAAGAAACATTGTGGAATCGATCAGAAAAGGGGGACCATCTAGCATATAAGTATTGGTGCAAACTGCAAGGTTCTGGAGTCTTCAAAATTATAAAAAAATTGGCCCAGTCTTGGTAAAGTAACTGTACACAGAAAGATGTATATGGGACTACACAAACATGCGGCATAAAAATCGGGCCTTATTTTTAAGCTGTTACTTGTCATATTTAGAATATGAAGGCATTTGAAGAGCCATATTTTTCAGTTTTCAGGGATAATTTTCTCTCTGATGTTCTTCCACACTAATTGCATGATAACAATGATAACGCTCACAAATTATGTTTCACCTCTCTCCAGAACATTTAAGTAGTTAACGCTTTTCTTGCTCCAAACAGACACAATTATGTACTAGTCTTTATCCTTACATAGTGCCACTTGGGACAAAGTATATTTTTGAACATAGTAGGATATGTGAGGAAAACTATAAGGAAAGAGTTTGAAAGAAAAGTATGTAAAATCTTGTGAGATCACTGAATAACATGCCTTTAAGTCTTTTTCCAAGTCTCTCTTTTATATCAGTGCCAATTAGTGGAGGGAGCTTGACCAAGGAAGAAAGGCCGGGCCATATAAAAGAAAAGCCGTAAGTCCTTTCTCTCCTTATCCTTCCTGCAAATTTATTTGAATATTCAGAAAAGACTACATGTTGCAATTAAATGCGATAGAATTTCCTGGCAAAACTTTTGTTTATGATCCAAGCATTAAAGCAGATCAATTATGCAACTTCCTAAAGAAAGCCAATCCTAACTTTTTGACTGATGTTGAAGGTAATAGCAACACAGAGAGGGTGGAGGAAGACTTCAAGGTTTTATTTACATTTGTAGATATTTGTGCTAATTTATTGATAATTTGTTTTCCTGTTGATATTACTCAGAATCACAATAATTGAATTTTTTTTCAAAAATAGGAACAAATAAAGTTCAGATTTTACTTTCAAAATTCTTTCTTTGTGTGTATGGTAACATTGAAATTGTTCATTGCTTAAGACGTTTAAGTTTTATCTCATCATTATTTTAATTAGATCATGTAAATGTATTTAACACAACTCTCTATTTGCGAAATATGCTTGAAGCATTTATTTTAGTAATGAATTCTACAAAAATGTCAAGGAAATTTGCTTTGTATGTTTAAAATGCTGCATGCCTTCTCTCACATACTTTTCATGGTAAACAACAATAACCAGGTGTTTTTGTTTGACATATTTATTTTTGTTGTTTTAAAAGAAGTTAAATCTTTTCAGCCTTTGATATTTATGTATGTTTCGTCTCTAATTATTCTTTCAATCTTCCTAGATTATACATTTCTTCTCATTTTATAAATGGCTCGCTGCATTAAAATTACATTCATCCGCCATGGGGGTGTTTCACAAAGACTTGGACTTAACTATGACAGGCAATTCATGCCACTGGTTGCTCTTGCTATTGGTCTCTCAATTACGATCATTAGATAATATTTTTTCCTTCAATTAACTCTTTGTTTGCTTTGTTCGCCGATTTGCACGGACGTAGGCGTGCCAACTTCGCATTTTTGCACAGATGTATACGAGTCAATTAGACATTCATAATACCGCTCGCAGTGTGTAGCCACGCGTTGCGTTTACTATTGTTTACATTGTATACATCGCACACTTTCCGGTAAACTGTTTTTCTTCATAGTGTTACATTCGAAATTACCGTGTATTTAGCGGTTTTCTTTGGATTTTTTTTACTGATGTTACGATGGCACCTGCTGGAAAACGTCAACGTGTGTTTAGTGTAGAGGAGGCTCGAGATCTTGTTACTATGGAAGCATGGAGCATGGACTCTGATTCCGACGAATCGAGCAGTGACGAAGACTCTAGTGATAAAAGTGTTCCCTGAGAGTAGACTGATAGAATAAGAATGAATAAAAATTAATGAAAGAGCTAGAGATGACAGCAAGAAAGAGAGTAGACTGATAGAATAAGAATGAATAAAAAAAATGAAAGAAGGAGATAGAGATGACAGCAAGAAAGAGAGTAGACAGTGATAGAATAAGAATGAATAAAAATAATGAAAGAAAGAGATAGAGATGACAGCAAGAAAGAGAGTAGACTGATAGAATAAGAATGAATAAAAATTAATGAAAGAGCTAGAGATGACAGCAAGAAAGAGAGTAGACAGTGATAGAATAAGAATGAATAAAACTAATGAAAGAAAGATGTATCCTGTCTTGCCGTCATCTTTATATCTTTCTTTTATTATCTTTATTCATTCTTATGCTATCAGTGTTTACTCTCTTTCTTTCCGTCATCTCTATCTTATTATTATTATCATTTTCCTATCTATATGTACCCTATGTCTTGCCGTCATCTGTATATCTTTTTCTTATTATCTTTATTCATTATTATGCTATGAGTGTAATACTCTCTTTCTTGCCGTCATCTCTATCTCATTATTATTATCATTTTCCTATCTATATGTACCCTATGTCTTGCCGTCATCTCTATATCTTTCTCTTATTATCTTTATTCATTCTTATGCTATCAGTGTTTACTCTCTTTCTTTCCGTCATCTCTATCTTATTATTATTATCATTTTCCTATCTATAATTATGTACCCTATGTCTTGCCGTCATCTCTATATCTTTCTCTTATTATCTTTATTCATTCTTATGCTATCAGTGTTTACTCTCTTTCTTGCCGTCATCTCTATCTTATTATTATTATCATTTTCCTATCTATATGTACCCTATGTCTTGCCGTCATCTGTATATCTTTCTCTTATTATCTTTATTCATTCTTATGCTATCAGTGTTTACTCTCTTTCTTGCCGTCATCTCTATCTTATTATTATTATTATTTTCCTATCAATATGTATCCTATGTCTTGCCGTCATCTCTATATATTTCTCTTATTATCTTTATTCATTCTTGTGCTATCAGTGTTTACTCTCTTTCTTTCCGTCATCTCTATCTTTTTATTATTATCATTTTCCTATCTATATGTACCCTATGTCTTGCCGTCATCTCTATATCTTTCTCTTATTATCTTTATTCATTCTTATGCTATCAGTGTTTACTCTCTTTCTTTCCGTCATCTCTATCTTATTATTATTATCATTTTCCTATCTATATGTACCCTATGTCTTGCCGTCATCTCTATATCTTTCTCTTATTATCTTTATTCATTCTTATGCTATCAGTGTTTACTCTCTTTCTTTCCGTCATCTCTATCTCATTATTATTGTTATTTTCGTATCAATATGTATCCTGTCTTGCCGTCATCTTTATCTCTTTCTCTTATAATCTTTATTCACAGTAAAGTCCTTTCATTTCATATCACTATTTCTCTCTCATAATGTCTCTCACGTCCGTTCTCCATATTTTATTCATTGCATACTCCACTCGTCAATCATTTCTGATAATAAGCTCTCTCACAATAAAGTAAATGGAAAACAATGCAATATAGTTTATATTTTAAGATTGATTCATTCTTTCTTTGTATATCTATGGCTGTGATAAATGTACTTGAAATCAATTTTATTGAGGGGTAAAGAAGGTGAGAGAACAGATGCGGTGAACATTCATAATGAGACATTTCAATAAGATGCTGATTATGTCATGTATATCACATATAATATATTATGCCTATACCATTTTTACATGCTCATACCAGTGGGCAAAATCAATAACATTCTCTTATTTCTTATTGACTTATCATGGCACAACAAAGAAAAACATCCCCACGACGTCCCTTTTCATGCCCCGCTAAACCGGACATTGACAATAACCTGGGGTAATAGGGATTTCAATGGGCAGATTAGCCCATTGTCAAGGGTGGCTGAGCGGGGTACTTTCAAGTCTCTCCCTATTGAACTTCTTTTCTTCAACAACCTAAATACTAACCTTCTGAATTGTTAGAATACTTGAGCAAGGTATGTAAAGAAAGGTAAGAAGTCCACCTTTCTAATAGATTCGATTTGAAGATGTCTTATCATTGCTAAATAAGAAATTCTAGAGGGATAAAAAACTGCCGTAAATAAGAAAAATTAAACATTATATAATTATGATTATTATAAAAATGATAATTCAAAATATAACAAATGACGGTTCATCGAAAAGCACGTTTTCCGGTCTACAACTTTGCTGCACAATATTTTTCATCATGATCATCCAGTGAAGAGTTATAGCCTCTTGATTCAGCAGAGTCAATAAAGATTCCCTCGAAATGTGTGACCCTAAAAGAATGTGGCACAGGGGGGTTTTTTAAGTGGCGCATAAAGAGTTAATGAACTATCAAAAAATAAACATTCTGTAGATTTGTGACCACGATTTATACGTCCCTCCAGAGACCAATGCCAGTATTATGGTAAGAGCAAGCAGTGGCATGAACGGCCTGCCATAATTAAGTCCAACTTAGAGTCGATCTTAGTCTTTGTGAAACACCCCCATGGACAGATGAATACGACTTTAATGCAGTGAGCCGTGTGAAAAAGGAGAAGAAATATATAATGTAAGAAAGATTGAAAGAAATTGATCTTAGTATTTGTAAAACACCCTCCATAATATATATGAAAGTAATAATTGTTTTCCGATGTCTTCTCTTAGTTCCTGAACCCTGATAAGGACATTGATGTGGAGGATGAGACCGGGCCGGATTATCTCGGAGCCGAGCCGATCGATCCAAACGAAGTCAACCTCAAGGAAGGTGAAGAAGCTCTCCTTAAGGAGGCGATCGGTCACGAGATGGAGAAGAACTCTGCCAAGTACTCTAGGGATCTGAACCACAACGGAGGAGAAGCATCTCCCGGGCAACCTCGTCACCAAGACAACGGGGAGGCGGAGTTTGCTCAGAGCGACGGCGGGGGCGGAGCCGGAGGAGGGGCGGGAGAGATGAGGAGTAAGATTTTAAACGGGATGAAGAAGGTGATGAAGAGCTTGATGGGGTCGAGCGAGGAGGAGAGCGAGAAGCTTCTGCTTCAGCTGGCTAAGGATCCCAAGTCAAGCGAAGCCAAAGAGACGATCAAGGTCGCCATTGAGAAGATGATGTCCAGCAGCGACGTGGACAAAGCGCTCCCTCGGGAGCAGCTGAAGAAGATGATGCAGGGTTTGACCCAAGGGACGTTGATGGATGACCCCCAAGGAAACGGGAAGAGGGAGAACTTTGACCCGGAGGCGGTAGGAAAGGACGGGAAGGAGATGGTGTTTCCTAGTGACACGGAAGGGAGGATGCTGGATGACAAGGATTACGACCCGATGAAAGGTTTGGATCAGAAGGAGTATTTTGATTGGGTGAACCCTCCAGGGTTCGAGGCAGGCGCTCCAGGGTCACTAGAAGCAGATGATCAGGATGACGGTGATGATGATGATGATGAGGATGATGCTGCTGATCAGCCTGATTACCATGGCAACGAAGATGAAGATGAGGAAATCATTGGTGACAGAGAATATTACCCTTCCGATGAAGATGCTGATGAAGAGGAATTGTCTGAAAATACAGCGATGGAGGAGGCTGAAGATGAAACCAACCCAGATGACAGTAACCATGACGATAAAACAAAAGATGAGTTTTGCTTGCCTGGGGAGGGGTGTGGGGAGACTTCCTCCGACCCAACAAAGTATTCTGAGGAACAACAAACAGACCCTGACCAATCCCAAACAGAACAAGCTCAGGAGGAGCAGAAAACTGAGGATGAAAGTAACCAGGATGATGGGAAGAATGCTCAAGATGAGGATGAAGATGATGGAACAGTCATTCAAGAGGACAAGGAGGAAAACAAAGAGAATGAGATTGAAGATGATGATAGAAAAGAAGATGAAGGGAAGGGCAGAGGAGAACATAATAGAAAAGAAGATGAAGATATGGAGAGAGAAGAAGATGATAAAAAAGAAAATGAAATGAAGAACTTAGGATATCTTGAGGGGAGAGAACATGAAAGGGAAGAACACGAGGAGGAGGAGGATGAGGAGGAATGCGATTGGAGTTGTGAGGAGGATGATGATGGTGAATGCATTGAAGAAGAGGAGGAGGAGGAGGAGCCCTGGGTGTATCAACCACGTGAGCTGACCCCAGCAGAGGAGAAGATACAGGAAGCCCTGGATACGGAGGTTACCAACGAAACCAAGACATGGATGGAGGAGATGATGAAAATTGATGACAACGCCTACTTCCTCCTGAATGATCTAACGGTAAGTAATTGTCAGCTTTACTGTGAGAGATGACTGATTAAAGCCCCACTGCACTACTTGCTTGCGCCCTCTATAAAGCAAACAATGTCTAATTGATGCCTGTTGTTCCCCCATGATCCCCTTTTTCTTATGTTAATTGAGAGCTGATTTGATGAGATAACCACCTGTCGGTGACCTTGCAGGGAGGAAAAATACCCCATGGCCAAACTAGTACAGACAGGCTTTAATCCATTGCATGCGAGAACCAAGTCATCCATGTATTAAACCTATTGGTAATAGAGAAGTCAGTAGTAAGTGGTTTAATTCATAAAAGCACCCTGCCTACACGTAATGCTCTATAGGAAACAACATCTACCTGTATTTTCAATATCCAAGATTTGTTTTATTCGAAACTAAAATACATTAATTTAGTTGTACCACTTCACTATTCCATGAAGATGTCATGAAAAAAGTTTCATCAATCCTTACTAGGAATGTCTAGAGGGTGTTTCACAAAGATCCTAAGTCAAACTTAACTCTAAGTTGGACTTAAACATTATGGAGAGCCATTTGTAGCCTTAAAATGAAATATATTCAAAAGAAAAAGTATTTTAGGCTTTTCATACACTTCAAATGAAGAACATGACATCTCCTTGATAATAGAAAATATGAATGATTTGAATCAACTTTTTATGCCTTTTAAAATAACATTACAAAATATTTTCAAAGATGCTATCTGTTTTCCATAATTGTTGAGCCCAACTTAGAGATAAGTTCAACTTAGGATCTTTGTGAAACACCCCCTGTTTATATTAACCCACAGGATTTGGAAGTGGTAATGACGGATGACCAGTTGAACGGATCCAATCGTGTGTTAGCCGATGGACTCGCTGCTGACCAAGAATGTGGAACACTACTCCAACTTTTAGATGTGAGTTTCTTTTTTAACCTTTGACCTAAGAAACGTACATTGGTGCTTGTCAGGAAGAGTGAGTTATTTTTTATTAAAATGAAGATAACTTTTTCACATTAATTCCATTATCCTCATTATCCTCATCATTATTATAATCATTATCATCGTCATCATTATCATCATCATCATCATCCTCATCATTATCACCATCATCACCATTATTATCATCATCCTCATCATTATCATTATCATTATCATTATTACCATCATCATCCTCATTATCATTATCATTATCATTATCATTATTACCATCATCATCCTCATTATCATTATCATTATCATTATCATTATTACCATCATCTTCCTCATTATCATTATCATCATCATCATCATCATCATATACCTCTCTTTAGAACTATAGCCATCTGATTGGTCGAAATGGGAGTTGTGATTTTAGCCATTGCAGTAAAGAAGCAAACAGTTCATGAGTGAGATTCAGAAAGATCCTGGGTACGAAAAAAAGAGTATAATTTTGATACAATACCCATTGGTTTACGTGTTAATACTTACTTTGTGGGAGTGTGGATACCATACAGTGCTTTTTGTCTGTGATTTCCAAATGATTGTAACATTCAGTCATCTTTCCAGCGAAGATTAACAGACAGTGTCTCAGATTTTCTGTGATGTTTTAACCAATCTTTACTCAAGAGAAGGATAAGGTAAGAATTCTTGGTAGATTTTTGTGTCAATTCGGTGTATAAAAGACATATCGACTGCTTTAATATTCGAGGCCTGGCTGTTTTTATACTGGCTCTCGGTGACGTTGCATTCTGCCATGACCCCTGAAAACAGCTAGGACTCTGATAGCAGTCGATATATCTATATTATCATAATCATAATCATAATCATCATCATCAACATCAACATCAGAAGCAGTAGCAGTCATTGAGGAGGTGCGATAGCTCAGTCGGTAGAGCAGTGGTCTCGTAATCCGGTAACCCGGGCTCGAAACCAAGTCGATGTGCTAGTGCCCTTTGGTAAAGCATTAATCCTCATCACCAGGTCCCTCGGAGAGGACCTAAAGCCGTCGGCCATCTGGTTGCTTACTAACAAGCATATATGTATTTTCTATGACCTCTCTGAATAGGGAGAAGCAAGGCAAGGCAATGGATACAAAGGAAAGACCAGCCCCCATACCAAGTTTGAGAACTTTGAAGGACTCACCGTCAAAGACGCTGTTGATGTAAGTAATTTACTATTATTTTTTTATTGATAATAAAATGATAGTAAATGAGACAATTGGGTGGCAGCATTTTATTCTGTCTATTTCTCTTGTTGTTTGTTAAACTCTCCCCCCCCCTTTGGTTTATGCTCTTCCTTCATCCCTCTACAGTTCATGATTGCCCTCTCTGCCTCTGTCTGTCTGTTCTGTATGTCTCTCTATGACCCCGTTCTCACTCACTTTGAAAGTGGTCTTAGTTAGACCGTTCCAGAGGAACGGGTCTTGAGGAACGGTTTGCGAGCGTTCACACTCCGAGCAGTTTTTTATGGCTCACACCGCTCCACGAGTCAAAGTGGTCTTGTTGCTATGGCAGCTTAGGTCAGCAGGTCAATTTTTTCGCGCGCGGAATACAAACCTTATGTACCGTACTACATGTTTCGCACGGAACGTCACTAGCTCACTTCCGCTCAAAGTACGCTTCCGTTCACATTGCATGTTAGAGCGGTCCAAACCGCTCTTAATAAGACCTGTTCCTCAAGACCACCTCCTGAGGTGGTCTTCTGGAGCGGTCCATAAGTCCACTTCCTGGACCACTTTAACCGTTCTCACTCACTTAAGAACTGCTCCTGAGGAACGGGTCTTGGTTAGACCGCTCCAATGAAGTGAATGAGAACGGGATCTATGTCTCTCTCTCTTTTTCTTTATCCCATTTACCTTAGGGGAGCCTTCCAAAGTTGCGACTGTGCCGCGACGCGTCGGGGCGCAGAGCAGGATATGAGAACAAAGGAGGCGCCTTATTGCGCCCATTTGCGCCTTTTTGCGTCGGATACGAGAGGACTTCAGATGGTTCCCAGCTCATTAAAATCTGGCTATTGTTTGGAGTCTCATTGTTACGAAATTACCCCGCCGGGGCGCGCCCCGGTGAAGCACTTGACACTTGTGAATGGGAGCTTAAACTTTGAATAGCTTTCGCGCCCTTTCGCGCCCGGTCCGGCGCATTAGTTATTCATGTATAGTGCCTGCTTGTGTGTCGCTCTCGTCTTGCGAGATTTGACTCTGTAAAGCATTACTTTGGCTACTGATTTGTTTTAATATTATTTTACGTACATGACATTGGTTACAATGTTTGTTCTGATTGTTTATTTTCCTCTCAACATCGGAGTTCTGTAGGCGTTAACGTTGGCATGATTGTTCATTATTTCATCTCCTCCTGTTCTGTTCATGATTGTGTTCAGTATATTAATTTTAATACAAATTGATTGGTTTACGACAAAAACAACTTTATTTTATACTTACCCCACTCTCTCTGACATTGTTTTCCTCGTGCATGTTTTGACACTTTATTTGATTCATATTACATTAAAATTGTGTATATTTCCTCTAGCGATGTTATCGCATGTTTTGTTTTCTTTAATTTTCGTTGCATCTTGTAAACAGTTCTGTCGTATGATCATTATAAATCATATAATTATATCATCAGTCTGTTATTTCAATACATAGATCCTTTGAATCTTCTTAAAATTAGATAACGTATTTTTAAATCCTTGATGTTGAAAATGATACTTAATCAAGAATGTCGTAGTTTCTCCTTGAATTTGATTTAAAAAGCGTTTTATCTGTATTACGATTTTTGTTTATGCATATGATATCCGTATTGTCGGGAACATCATCAATATGTTTCGTTAGAAGGAAGACGCTCATTTTCAGAATGTTCTTTCTTTGCAAAACACTAATGTTACGAACAAAATTAAATACACTGTATCCGTATCATCGGGGATATCGCAAAACTCCCAGGGAGATTATCAATTGCAAATCAACATAGTAAATTATGCCTAAATCGTAAGAATAGAACATGCATCAAAAAAGAAGAGCGTTACCAGGAAATAATGTTTCAAATTTCACCTCGAACATATCTCAAGAAGAAATTAGTTTATTATTCTGTTCCAAAGAATTTTAACGAATATTTCTTTACGAAGAAGGGGGGGGGGGGGGAGTTACAGCCGCGGCCAGTTTTAGATCTAGGTCATTGTTGAGAAGAACTGAAATACGTATATATTGTGCTTAATTGGGGCCACGTGGTATCGAAAGAGCGTAGTGCGTTCTAAAACAAATAACACAAGCCATGGCAATTCGTTGGTGTTGGTATCAAGTAGTAGACGGAATTTATAATGATTGCGTTGTTTTGGGCCATTTTTTCTTTAGGGGTGGGGGGGGGGGGCTAGCCCTTATTCTTCTTCTACTGGGTCATCACGAAACACAAATAGTGTTTAAATTTTCCGCAATCCCTTTAGCAGGCGCGGATTAGTTGGGGGGGGGGGGGAGGGGAGGGAGGGGGGGAGGGGGTAGTGAGCACAATTTTTTTTTTTTGCTCCCGAAAATTTGAAAATCGCGCCGGCCGAAAAGTCGCTCAGTGGTGGGGGGGGGGGGGGGGGGGGGGGGAAGGGGGGGGGGGGGGTAGTGAGCACATTTTTTTTGTTGGCCCTCGAAAATTTTAAAATTTGCACCCCCCCCCCCCCCTTGAGCGCCAGGGGGGGGGGGCAAACCCCAGAAAATGTAAAAAATAAACCCCCCCCCCCCCCCCATGGATCCGCCACTGCCCTTCAGCGCCGAGGGTAGAAAAGCCTATTGAAAAGTCAGCTGGACAATAGCAATTTAATGTTGGTCGAACAATCAGGGAGAAATACTGGGCACACATGTACACAATATTAGCCCACGTCTTCAATATAACCAGGAAATCCCGATATAACTATTTAAGCACATGCTCACAATATGAATTTCAAATCTGGCTATTGTTTGGAGACTTATTGTTATAAAGGGGTACTTTTCACGCACCAAAGTCCGGCTCGTCTAGTACACACAAGTCCGGCCCGTATTGACTTTACACACCGGACTTAGGGGGCTGTTTTCAAAAGGAGGGAACATGCATATGCGTACCCTACATAACACTCAGTGGGGGGGGGGGGGGCGCTTAACGGCGAAGCGCTCTTTGTGAATTGTGAATTTGTGAATGGGAGCTTAACTTTGAAAAGCTTTCGCGCCCGTTCCAACGCATTAGTTATTCATGTAATCCCTGCGTGTGTGTCCGCTCTCGTCTTGAAAGATTTGACTCTAAAATTTTCACTTTGGCTACTGATTTGTTTCATTAAGACATTGATTTAGATTCTTATTCTGATTGTTAATTTCCCTCCCAACATCGAAGTGTTTTAGGCATTGACGTTGGCATGATTGTTCATTTCTGTTCATCAATATGTTCAATACTTCAATTATATTAATTTGTTCACGAACAAAACAGAAACGATATGTATAATTGTATTCTTTCTGTATGTTTTGGCACATTATTGTTTCATATTGCATTATTTTGTTCTGTCATCCGATCAAAATAGGTCATATATCTATATCATCAATCTGTTCATTCTCATGCAAGATCGATTTAAAGAATAGAAACGTAGGTTCTCTAAATCTTCGCAAAATCAGCTATTGTATTTTAACACCGTGATTTCAAAATGATACTTATAATCAAAGACATTGTAAGATTCTGCTTGAAATAAGATTATAGGGCGTTTATAAATATGTCATACGAAACGAACAAACATCTGCAAATTAAAGATATTACAGAAATGATAATCGTATTGTCGGGAGCCTGCATTATCAAAACGTTTCGGTAGATGGAAGACGCTCTTTTTCGAAATGCACTCACCAAAATTCTGCTCGAATCATAAGGAACACTGTCTCCCTGCAAAATTATAAAACTAATTTTACGAAAAAAAACGAATATCTGCATTATCGGGGAAATCGATATACTCCCAGAGAGATTATTATTTGCAAATAAACATTGTAAATTATTTTTGAATCGTATGGGACCTTGAAGAAAGAAGGAGTGTTTATCGGACACGATATTCGTTATTTTCACCTCGAACCATTCGAAATCGCCTATATATGTTCCAAACATGAAATTTGATTGAATATTTCTTCGCAAAGAAACTGTATTGGTGGTGGCATTTGACGTAACAATTTGTTGTCATCAATTGCTCGTGAGGTTTTGACGTTTCATATTTGTTAGCTAGCGCTAGTAAAGTCTCTTGTTTTAACGTGCACTGCATTGGTGCACTGTATTTAGTTATAAGGCCTGAACACGTCATGTTCACATTGGGTGTTATATAGCATACGGATATTATAGTACATGTAACTTTTACAAGGACATTGTTATTGCAACGCAATGACAAAAAACAGCTCTTTGAGCAGCTAATAGTTGGTGCGCCCATTGTTCCGCTCATAGGCGGCTATCACCAATTACCGGGCATTATTTGTTATTGCATCATTAGTTTTCTATTTATTTATTTAGTTTTGGGGAGGGGGATATCGTATTACGAATTCATGACCCTTATGCATAATGACCATGTTCTAAAATTACAAATAGCGGTCTTCATGAATAGTTGTCCAATGAATAGCGGTCCTTATAACTAGCGAGCGGAGCCCTCCTGATGGGCCTCTGCCATTTACGTCCGGCCGTTCACTTCGCCGCCCCCCTCCCTCACACACACACACACACACACACACATAATACGCAGCCTTAACCCATAGCCTGCCATGAGGCTGCACGCACGCTACCTATTGAGTGCCATGTGCGTGCAAGGGCGCATTCATAGTAGCAGTTCTTGTTCATGCTCATTGGGCTGTGCTGTGTGTTTTGCACTCGCCATTCATAGAACCATCGCGTTAATCAGATTATCTCCAAAACAACCTGGCACAGTGGGGATTAGCCCTGTGGCACGATAAGAGTTAATAGTGTACCTAAACAAGAATCTATAGCAAGTCGGACAATTATAGCGATCAAACAATAGCCTTGCTCGGCCGCGTGAAATCCTGCCACAGCATTCGAACTTTTCTTTTGTATTCGTTCCATAGAACTCTACTTTATCTTAAAGCGAGGTGAAATGAAAAGAGCGTCATCATGAGTAGATCTTTTGTTTGATGTTATCCTTCTTCTCCCTAGTTAAGTCAAACCTCAATTTAGGCCTATCCATAAAAGGTAGTTTCCTGTACCGTTTGCTTTTTTTTTTTTTTACCTGACTGCTACATGAAGCATATGCTCTGAATTAGGCAAACAGGGGACCGGCGGCTTTAAGACCTCTCCGAACGAAATGTAATGTTGAGTTATGCCTTACCAAAGGGCACTAGCATATCGACTTGGTTTCTAACCAGGGAGCTCCCGGTTACGAGCTGCTCTGCTCTACCACTGGGCTCAAGCGCCTCCCTCCTTTTAAAAAGATGTTTTAAAATTTGCGTGTTTTGTTTTTTGTTTTTGTTTTTGTTTTTTTTTTGATTAAGAATCAAAACATGTTTGGTATGTTTTTTTATCTGTGCAGTATGATTTCAAAATTTCACTTTCGCCACTTAATTATACAAATCTACGAATAAATGATTCGAATGTTAGAGCAGAACTCGATGTTTGTATTTGTGTCCCTGCCCGTTTTGCGATCATTTAGTACATATAGCGCAAAGTAGAAGTCGAATGATAAATTATCACCATGAACTGCTTAATGTTTTGTATGGCATTTCCATTTGCTGCTCAACTTTATCGCCATCAAGCTACGCTTTTTGTTTACATCTTCATGACACACATGTTTTATAATCTCGATATAGTTCCTAGACTCTTTTTTCTATTCATTCCACTTTTAAAAAGAGCTATGGAATTATTATGATTTAAAACGCATTATGGACGGGCAATTTTCGAAGGCAAATCTCTGGCGTGATATCCTGCCACAGCATTTTATGTTTTTTCCTTTAGAGCAAACTTTTCTTTTGTATTCGCTCCATACAGAACTCTACTTTATCAAACAGCGAGTTGAAATGAAAAGAGCGTCATCTTGAGTAGATCTTTTGTTTGATGTTATCCTCCTTATCCCTAATAAGCAAACCTTCAATTTATTAGAACCAAGTCAAGGGAGGAGAAGAAGAAAAAAGGAGGATTTTACTGACAAATATATATATTCTTCCAAGCTCAGGCTGTGGCAACGCATAGCGTGAATATGAATGACGGGAGAGAAAGATAATTCCTTTGTCCATTATTAGGACGCTAGAATAATATCGCGATGTGGGAATTATACAAATATGTTGATAATCATTCAAATTACAAACATAACAAGCGTCCTAAACAGTAATCAATTTGCCGACTATAACCGTATACATTTATTCATTCACATCATTCGCCTTTTATTTTTTGTTGTTGGGGACAATCAAGCTCGCAATTAAACAGCCATTAATCGTACATAGTCATCTTTATTTCACATTTCATACAGTCGTCACAAAAACTAAAAGGAGGCGTATTAAACCCAACAAAAATAAAATGTGTGTTGATTGCCCCCCGAAACAAAGACGCTCCCACCAGACAAGTTCATGCTGTGCTGTAGCAATGTACATCGCAAAGCTTCCACAATGATTGGAAAGATAATACCCCGCCCGTTACGACGCAAAACGGCGCAAGAATAGATCGCGACGCGAGAAGAATACATCAAGTTTTTACAAACAATGGAATGTTTATCAGAACGAGAACCGGAGGAGGGGAAGACAGGCTTTGGCCGACAAATACTTGCTATATATCAAGTTTAAGCTGTACCGCGCATCGCGAGCGAGAACAATGACGCGAAAGATAATCTTCCATCGCCTGGTAGGGCGCAAAAGGGCGCAAGAAGAATAGAGCGGGTTTATACCAACAATAGACAGTTTCTTTTCATATGCAAGAATCAGATGAGGGTGACTATTGCGCCCCTTCGCGCCCCTTTGCGCCTCAATGCGTCTCTTGAGACGCGACTGTTCTATTCATCGCGCCCCGACGCGTCCGGGCACAGTCGCAACTTTGGAAGGCTCCCCTTATCCCATTTACCTTCTGTTTACCACAGGCTTACTATGCATGCTATAATAGGCACAATTTTTTTTTACCTGTTGTATACTTCTTTCTTATAAACATCAGGGGGGTGTTTCACAAAGATCCTAAGTAGAACTTAACACTAAGTTGGACTTAAAAATTATGGACAGCCATTGGAGCCTTAAAATAAAATATATTCAAAAGCAGAAATTCAAGTATTTTAGACTTTTTATTAATTCCACATCCAGAACATGAAATCTCCTTGATGATAGACAATATGAATGATTTGAATAAACAATTAATGCCTTTCAAAATAACTTTTACAAAATATTTTCAAAGATGCTAATGGCTTTCCATAAAATTTAAATCCAACTTAGAGATAAGTTCAACTTAGGATCTTTGTGAAACACCCCCCTGGTATGTCAGTGTACTTCCATCTCTTCTTTTTTTCTTTTTTTTTGTCGTCTCTATTTTATCAATCAGAAGTACTTAAGCCTTTTGTATCCTCTTTCCAATGGTCTGCATGCAATTTATATTTCTGGTAATTATGTATTTTCTTGAATATTACTGTAACGCCGGTGGAAACCAAATTTCTATGTAACTTATTTGCAAAGACCAAATGAAATATCTTGTATCTTGTATAATCTTGACTGACATCCACATGCCGCTAGTGCTGGTCGTATACCTCTGTATTCTTCATTCTACATCCAATGGTATATGCAATTTATAATCTCTCGCACTTTCTGTTTTTGTTTTTGTTTCAATTTATTTGACTGACATCCACAGGTTGCTAGTGCTGGCTGTATATCTCTGTATCCTTCTTTCTCTATCCTATGGTCTACATGCAATTTATAATCTCTCATACTTTGGGTGGTATTCTCGAAAGCGGACTAACTTTAGTGCATGGTTTAATTCTCTGACTAAGTATGGAATGCCAAATGTCCATAAGAATATATTTTTGAATAATTTGATATGTCCCTAAATTACCATGATAACATAATTATTTTATAGTTATATTGTTGTTTATTGATTATGTTAGTACATTTTATTATAATTTAGTGACGGGTTAAATCATTCAAAAACATATTCATATGAACACTTGGCATTCCATGCTTATCCGTGGATTATACCATAGAATAAAGTTAGTCCGCTTTCGAGAATACCACCCTATATGTTTTATTTGTTATATTTGACTGCCATCCACAGGCTGCTAGTGCTGGCCGTATATCTCTGCTCTATCCCACTGTCTACATGCATCTTGCGGAGAGGTCTCATCAGTTCTATGTAACTTGTTTGCAAAGACCAAATAAAATATTTTGTATCGTGTATAATCTCTCACACTTTCTGTTTTAATTTGTTTTAATTTATTTGACTGCCACCCACAGGCCGCTAGTGCTGGCCGTATACCTCTGCTCTATCCCACTGTCTACATGCATCTTGCTGAGAGGTCTCGTCAGTTCCTCCAGCGTCACTTCAAACTCAAGTCGCATCTTTTCTTCTCTTATACTCATCTCGTTTGTCGGTCAGCTGGTCCAGGTATCTTTAAAGCATGTAAGACTCACGCTTTCCTTAGCCTTTCTCTCCCTTCGTCTGTCTGTCAGTGTCTGTCTGTCTGTCCAGTATGTCTGTCAAGTTGTCAGTAAGTCTGTTATACATTAGGCCTGTTTTTTTAATTTTTTTTATCTTGAAATGTTTTATTGGTCAGAACATCAACATAAAAAAAATTCAAAATATGTGCTACCAACAATCTGTCAATATCTTCAAAAATTATCTCAAAACTCAACTCTTCTGTTAACGATATAACTGTCAAGCGCATTGTAACATGTGGAAAATGCGCTTCTTTTCAGGGGCTCTTTGACGATGAGTCCTTTTAATTTTAGTGAACAAAAAACCTTTTTTGTAGTAAAAGCCTGACAAATTTTGATTATTTTTGTCTTTGTACTAAAAGATGTTTGATTCTATGTTTATATGTTTTTGATACTCCATACATTTATAGCCTTTACATATCTCCCTTTAAATGTATTCTTCATTCATGTTGTTAAATATAGTCAACTATTTGGTAAGTTATTTTGTTAGGCTTTTCTTTTCATACGCATATGCACATCAAATCCAATGGGTAAATATTGGTAGTATCCATATTTTCTTGCCAATGGTTAAATTTATGGAATCGTGCAATATTACAAATAATTGCCACCTTTTGACCGAAGGCCAATGATATGCTTAAAATCATAACAAAACAAAATATTCAAATCATTTTGATCTACTCGTGCAATGTAGTGTCTGGTCAAGTAGTTTTTATAAGCACTTGTCTTGAAATTCAAAGGTTGTGAGTTTGATCCCCAACACGGCACTAATGTCCTTTGGCAAGGCATTAATCTACAATTTCCTCTCAATACCCAAGAGAGAAATGGGGACCCGGTAGGACGACGAAAGCATTTGTGTTTGTAATTTCCTTTGCCCTCACGGTGACCATATGGTAGGAATACTTTTCAAGGAGTGGAGATAGTGCACATTGTGCACATTGTGCGGGAATGAATCCAATGATACTGAAACATGTACCATACCTTTGTTATAGGTAGACATTCATGTAATACAATGTGGTCAGTACTTATGATATTGTTGGTGTATTGTAAGTTTTCACTTTGAATTATATGTCGGCCTCAACTCGGCAGAAACGGAAAGAATAAAAAGGTCAGTTAAAAGAAGATAAATAATCCCCATTCCCAGACAGACATGTGTGAGAGAAAGGCTGCATGCTCCACCCACTAGGAGACAGCATGATAGCTAGCCACACCCTACCCCTCCTCATTGGCCAATCAGACGCTTCAATGCATCATCTACCTTATGAATAATTCATGAATTAGTAACTTTAGACTCATCCCCTTAAACTTGTCTCCCCCTCCCTTTTTTCTTCTTCGCATCATTTCCTTATCTCACTTTTGTCAAGATTGTTTGACTGATATAAAATGTAGGTCCTATTGAAGTCACATTAGAGCTGTAGTATAGATTAATATTTAAAAAAATAGTCTAGAAATTATTTGTTTGATATCAATTATATGGGAATTATAATCTAGAGCAAGCTTAGTCATTTAAAATCAGAATGACAATAAAAAAGAAGAATTTGTTTGAACCATTTACAGAATTAATTAGAACTCTTTTGGTATTGTGAAAAAGGAGGGAGAAAATCACAATACTTTCTTTCCCTGTATAGATGTAGAAACTCATTTTATTTAGATACCTCTACGAGTTGACAGTATGAAGGTAATAAGCTTACCTTAGATAGAAGGAAGCAAGTTTAGACAATCTCTAGAAAGAGCGAAGGAACTATATTGCATACTAGATGAAGTGCATGATATTTTGTAGGGTTCTGGTTGCTATAGAGTAGTCAGTGAGTGTGGTGCTGTGATGGTCAAATCTTTTATTTTTATCTTTCATTTCATGCACTCGCTTGCATCTTGTGATTTTTCAAAATAGACAATCATGTGCATGCATTGCAGGGATATTTTCATGGATAATGGTTGTTGTTGGTTGTGGTGGTGATGATGATGATGATGATGGTGATGATGATGATGGTGGTGGCGGTGGTGGTGGTGAGGATGATGATGATGATGATGATGGTGGTGATGATGATAGGGATGGTGGTGGTGGTGGTGAGGATGATGGTGATGATGATGGTGGTGGTGGTGGTGTTTGTGGTGACGGTGATGATGGTGATGGTGGTGGTGGTGGTGGTGGTGGTGGTGATGATGATGATGATGATGATGATGATGGTGGTGGTGGTGATGGTGGTGATGATGATGATGATGATGATGAAGATGATGAAGATGAAGAAGATGATGATGATGATGATGATGATGATGATGATGAAATTGATGATGATGATGATGATGATGATGATGATGATGATGAAGATGAAGAAGATGATAATGATGATGATGATGATGATGATGATGATAATGATGATGATGAAATTGATGACAATGATGGTGATAGTGATAATTATGATGATGATTAAATTCAATTATGATAGTGCTGAAGATAAATACTATTAATGATGATAAGTATTTATGTGATAGAGATGTTATTAATGACAATGATTTGAGTAGCAAAATAAAAAATAGTATTGATCAGTTATTTATTTCATTCATAATACATCGTCCTTAGTTCATTGATGATAAAAACGGTGATTACGATGAAAACAAAGAATGATATGATGGTTGTAGTTACAATATTGTCAGGTGGCAAAATGAATGTCCTTCATGAAGTACATCTATCATGAAGATCCTTCATCTCACACAATTTATTTTCCTCCTCTCCGACCCCTTCTCCTAGATTCTTCCCTCAAACGTCGAGACCTCAGCCACCCCATCCACGCTGACAACTGTCAGTTAGACCACAAAGGGGTGTGCCACAAGCGACTCCCAGCGTTCGTCTGGCGGGACTGGAGCGCAATACTTTACCTCAATCAGGACTTTGAAGGCGGAGAGTTCATCTTCGCTCACTACAATAATACAGCACAGGTAGAGTACTGTAAACGTGGAAATATTCGCGGTACATTTATTTTCACGGATTTCGAGCTAAAGTCGGTGTCCGCAAATTTTAGAACCTGTGAAATTATAAACATGACTTCTTATGCGTGTTCTGAACGTGCTGAATTTGGTGCAACGCGAATTTAAGAACCAGCGAATATGTTTTGGGGTCGCTCAGCACAAAAAATTAATTGCGGGAAAATAACAGCGTTTACAGTAGTAGATGATGTAGGGTTGGGGTGACAATTTTGAAAAATTCAGACAAAGATACTATTTTGAGTTTTTTGAAAGTTTAAAAGTAGAGTAGTAGATGATGAAGGGTTTGATTGGAAGTTTGGGAAAATCAGACGAAGATACTATTTTGAGTTTTTGAAAGCTCAAATTTCTAAATATATTATAGCTTGCATTGCTTATGCTATCATTAGGTGTGATATAACACATGGATAACTATGGTGTAAAAGTCACAGTAATCCACTTGTCAGAAATATACAGCTTTCTTATTGTTTGACATTTTTTTCTGAAAAAATCTCATGATACTTCTCCAAATATTGTTTCATTCTACTGATGACGATTTCTCATGAAATCGGCAATCCCGTTTCTTAATTCATTTCTTGCAATATAGAAGATATTTGTTTTAAGTTGAGCTGCAATAATCAGGAGATAAATCATTAAAACGTTAATCTACATAATTTTGCCACTCTCCACCCAGGTGTTAAATGGGTATCGGTATGATGCGAAAGTTAATAATAATAATAATGGTGGCTTCTTATATAGCACACATGTCCATCACGTTGTGACGCTCCTGGCGCTGCCCCAATTATTACCCTGGCTTTAGCTGTGCTGCCATGCGGCGCTCTAGCATTTCAAGGAATTAATTCCTGCCAGTTGCCCATTTACATCACCTGGGTTGAGTGTGGCAAATGAAGATCAATGTCTTGCCAAAGGACATAAATGCAGCGGTGGGACTCGAACCGTGGACCTTGTGATTGACAGTCCGGCGACGTATCCACTCGACCACGACACCTCTACGGGGGGTTAGATGTGCAAGTGTGCGCTTGTAAAATGGCGCCTGGCCGGAATGCTCCCCAGGGAGTGGTGAATGTGCATACACTGTGTGCGGGTAAGCCTGAATCTGACGACAGAGGTAATAATGTATACTGCGCCTAGAAACTAAGTATTAGGCGCGTTTTAAATGTGATCACAAACTACGGGGTTTGAGTCCCGCCGCGCGGCACTGATGTCCTTTGGCAAGACGTTAATCTACATTTGCAATAAACAATAAACGTGATCTATTATTATTATTATCTCCCTCTCTTTGTCCTCCTCCAGGCTCAGGTGAATCCAAAGTGCGGACGCCTTGTCGGCTTCTCAGCCGGAGAGGAGAATCTGCACGGTGTGCGAGGGGTGATCCATGGGCGTCGCTGTGCCCTCGCCATGTGGTACACCCTCGACCCCCGATTTAGAGAAATTGAATTCTTTGGAGCAGCCGACCACCTAAACCTGCTATACGAAAAAGAATATAAACAGCAACATGCGTAAAATAGCTGATTTACTAGACACACATAGCTTAGCAAAATGAAGGGATGGGTCAACATGCATAAATTACTGTCAAACCTGCTTTAGTCACCACCTGTCTACAAAGACCACATTTTTTGTTTCCCTTGAAAATGGTTTCTCATTGAAACATATACTGAAGGAACCTGTCTACAAAGACCACATTTTTTGTCTCCCTTGAAAAAGGTTTCTTATTGAAACATGTACTAAAGGAACCTGTCTACAAAGACCACATTTTTTGTCTCCCTTGAAAAAGGTTTCTTATTGAAACATGTACTAAAGGAACCTGTCTACAAAGACCACATTTTTTCTTTCCCTTGGGCGGTTGCTATAGACAGGTTTGACTGTATTTTATTTACGAGGTACACATAGCTTAGCGAAATGTAGAGATGGGTCAACGTGTGTCGGGAACACAGAATGCACAATTTTGTTTTCTTTTTAAATGATTGCAAAGAAGTAGAACCATATCAACAGGACAATAAATCCCTAGAATTTCTTGTTTGGGTTCAACACTAACATGATTTTTCTTTTTTTTAATTATTTGTAAACACAATGCCAATTGGACACATGGTTTCTGTATGAAGGTCATTGGCCAATGGTCTACTTAAATAGACCATTTTGGAAATGTAATCAAATTTGATGCTTACATTTTTGTTGAGTGCCATGTTATAAGTCATTTCATTCACCTGTTGAGAATAATTGTATTTCAATAGTCAGAATGTTAATTTCATACATTAATTGTTGCTAGGTAGGACAAACATTATTTGATTGTTATACCCTATTCCCCTGTGCTCAATTTTCTTTATCATTAATTGTCTTCAATATTTCTGAGCATCTTACAACATTATAGAATTATACATGTTTTCTTTACAATTTGAATTGGTGCTATGTATTTTATGTCTATGTATACATCTCTATGAATTACATGAATGATGCAAAAGTGAAACATGCAATGAAGGAGATTTCTATATTGTGCAGAGAGATATTCATGTAGAAGAAAATGTGAATTTTATGAAACGAATTGAGTGATCAAATCATTGTCCCTCTTGTTATGGCCTTTGCTGGTTTTGAATCATGAGGGGACACAGTATTTCTGGTTTAGAAATTGAATATTTTGTACATAGGGAAGAAGCAAAATAAAACATTCCACGAAAAACATTTATTTGAAGTGGAACAGTTTTGGAATATAGTACTTGGTATGATCATGTATTTGTTTGGCTAGAGAATGAAATAATTGAAAGACTCAAGTCCTTAAAGTGCTCACAAAGGTTCGTATCTCCCTGTTTTTCCATTGTCTTCCCGAATTTCCATTGTCTGAAAATCGTTCGTACGGCGTTTGTAGCAGTTCATAATGGCATTTGTGACCGAGGCTTTACTTAAACATCTTCAAATTGGTTATTTATCATTACCTCTTTCACTCCTGTAAGAGTTGTTGAAATCCTAATTATGGTGATTGTTTCTGTTCCTTTAAGAACGACAAAAATAATGTCCCCTGTAGGTTCATTGTTAACGGTGGTGTAACAGGTTCTAAAGTCAATTTGTTTTCTTAATATACATGGACCTTTGGGATGCAAATCCAAGATTCCTATCATTTTATATCCAAGTCCAAGAGACAGTATTTCCTCATTAGATTGGTATTGTTTGTTTATCAAGCTAATGTTAATTGATTAATCTAGTTAAATGTTTATTTTGAAGAGATAAGGGTAAAAAATAGTTCTTTGAGTACCCAATTAATGAGTACATGTAGCGAATCAATGTACATGTATAGTCTTGTTATGTTTAGTCAGATATTTTATGTATGCTATGCAAAAATGTATGTTTTGTTTCCTAAACAGTATTAATTTGCTGCATTATACACAAGCCGATCATTCTTAAAACAAGCAAACAAACATACAAACAAACAATTATGTAAAACAGGCCTGATAAAAACCCGATTTAAATCGATTTCCCGATTTTTAAAAAAATTTCCCAATTTTTTTCTTCTTCCCGATTAAAAAAAAAAAAAAAAAAATCTGGATTTTTTTTTTTTTTTTTTTTACCAGATATTTTTTTTCTCCCTATTATATCCTGATTTTCTTGATTTCCCCCTTATCTTCTCTATTCTTTCCTATTTTGCCCTATTTTTTCCCAATATTCTTACACGAAAGTGGGGAATGTTGTTAGATGCCATTTTTTCCAGAGTATCCTCTTCTCTTTTTTTTACTTAAGGGGGGCGTGGTTGAGTGGAAAACAAACAACCTATTTTTTTTTAGTGCTCACTATCACCCCTGATAAAAGTACCGGTACACGTATGTTATTGAAGTGTGTGTATGAATGGAGTCAGTTTCTTGCTATTATATGTTGTGTTCAATAATAAGGTTGCAGGGATTTTTCTTTCTGTTTTCATATTTGTTTTCTTCTTGCCATTTATATTTATCCTGTTGATATTTTTACATTATGGCAATACTTGCCTTAAAAACCATTTTGCCATGATGCCGATTCATACAACATTCATGCAAGATCTGCCGATAGTAGCCTCTTAATTTTGATTGGGGGCCATGTTCAGAACAATTGTAATGCTGCAACTGCTTTAACGGACTATTTTTGTAATGTAATCATATTTATGCATGTATGCCTTTTTGCAGTGCCAGAATATGAATTATTTCATTCACCTGTTACATATCCCGATAGTCAGAATTCAAATTGCATACATTTGTTGGTGCTAGGTAGGACAAACATTATGGCTTGCCCTACCTAACAACGGGTAAAACAATGTTTTTACAATTTGCATTCTGACTACGGTATTGATATACAATTATTTGCAAACGGGTAATTGAAATAATTTGTGTCAAGTATAAATTTGGTTACATTATGAAATGGCCTTTTAGATTATTAGGGGGGGGGGGGATTGTCTACAATGCCTTATTTCTATACTCCATCTAGTTGCTCATTACAAAATATATTTTATAGGTTCAAAGAGTTATGGAAACATGAAAATACAAGATTGTATGTTTGTAGCTAGAAGCTTAGCTGTAGTTACCTATATGTTGTAGATACGGATATAAATGAGAACAACGAGAATATACTTTTATAATGTATTATAGAAAAGTCTACGATTAAAGAATGACAGTACATTTATGGTAGTATGTAGGATGCTAGCAGATTCTTCAGAATAATTAGTTAGATAGAAGTAGAGGAATTTGGTAGTAAGTACAGTGTACTATTCTGAGAAGGGTACAGTTTGTGGTGCTATTTCTGATCAATGGTCGTTTGTTTGACCCTAGTCTATCCTATCCCTCTAATAGGACGTTGAAAGTTTAGAATGAAGGTCCCATATAGAGGGGATTCACCACCCTTACACGTTAAACAAATAGTATCAAACATTTAACTTGATATCAGGTTGTCATTGATAGTGAGATTCAATTTGAAAAATGAAATTACTTTGTGTCTGATTGGTAAAGGTTAACTGCGTTCGATACAAAATTTGAAGAAGAAAATAACTGCCTTTTCAATAAAAGTGGCCTTAGACTTATACAAGAGTAGTGAGTTGGACAATAGTTACCATTGAATAAGGGACAGGGTCTTCCATGCATTGATAGTAAAGTGCCATTAGATTTAGGTTTTATCTTGGTTGATTTTATATTGTAGAAATGTGGATATGTTTGTAAATAAACTATTTGTACTGTTTCGCTATTTTCGGAATATGTCTCATTCATTTGTTCTCAAAATATTACTGTTTGTTCTTTTCATGAGCATGGTTTGAACATGGATTAGAAATTAATGAGGTACATAGTGTGGGAGATTTATGAATAGGGTATGACTTCAAATACAGATACAGGTAAAGGGATTGAAAATACATGTACATGAATGTAAAAGAGTGGGAGAGACGGAGAGATATAAGAGAGAGAAACAGACAGAAATATAGAGAAGACAGTGGGAGAGAGAGAAAGAGAAACAGAAAGAGAAGAGAGAGAGAGACGGATAGAAAGAGAAAGATACAGGAGAGCGGAGGCAGATGATGAGAGAGAGAGAGCGACATTGTTGTCATGGTACCCTCTTTTTAAAATGCATATTCACATGTAGCTCCTGAATATGATGTGAAGCAAATCAAAGTCACATAAGGCCATGTAAACAAATATACATGTTTAGCGTCCCCGCCCGCTTCCTTCTTGGGGGCCGCCTCCTATTTTTTTGTTTTGATTTTTTTTTAGATTTTTTTTTTTTTAGATTTTTTTTTTTAAAGAAAAAAAACAGGAAAAACACTGCAAAAATGGATCTATTTCTGATTTTAAAAAAATTATTAAAAAAATTTCGGCGGCCATCTTGAAAAATAGCCCGACTTTCAGGGAAAATGTACCGAGCGGCCATTTTGAGCGGCCATTTTGAAAGAAAGAAAAAAAAAAAGGGACTCCTTCCTATTTTTCCAAAAAACAGGACGCTAAACATGTTTTTTTTTTTTTTGGGGGGGGGGGGGGCCTAATTCATGAAGGTAGTAACCATTACCTGGAATCCCCTAGATTCGTTATCCTGTAAAATCTCAGCATTAAGCCTTTTCACCTGTCATGTGATCACTTTCTTGACTTCTCCATCTTAATTTATCTTCCTCTTCTCTCTTTTTTTATCAATTTGTTCTCGCTATCTTTCTCCATCATCCTCTCGTTCTTTACCCCTCTTCTGTCTTCATTCTCTATTAGCTTCCCCCAATCTCTCTCTCCCTCTCTCTCTCTCTCTCTCTCTCGTTTGTCTCTTTCTCTAATAACCTCTTTTCTGTTTCTATCTTCTTTCTCTGTTTTTGATTAAATTTCAACATAATAAGGCGAGTAAATCTTGCTAAATTCTTCAACTTAGAAGTGCTTCTAGGGCTTCTGTATATGCTTTATAAATGGCGTAGAATGCTTTCCTCTGAGCATAAAGAATCCGCCTGTCATGAATACATTTTAAGCTTATCTGTACTAGTTTACAGGAGGGATTATACCGCCCTGCAATGTCACTGGACAGGTGGTTATCTCATCAACTCAGCTCTCAATTAACATAAGAAAAATGGGATCATGGGGGACCAATGGTCACCGATTAGGCGTTGTTTGTTATATATATATATAGAGGGCACAAGTAACTACAAGTAGTGCAGTGGGGCTTTAAGTGGTGGTGGTGTTTGCCAGACGCTCCACTT